GGGAGTTGGCACTGGCCTCCTTTCAGGGCATCTGAGGGTCTGGCAGAAGAGGATAGAGATCCCTACCCCTCCCGGCGCCGGTGGCGCGCACGTGGCACTGACCATCAAGATGCCCTCACTTATGGTGCCACCCCAGGACATGATACCGGACTCGGCGTGGCACCACCGTTTGGAATCGCTACCGGTTCAGGGTCCCCCAGCACCTACCCCCATGTGGGATGCCTGCACCACCATACCACTGCCTCTGCCTTGGCACCACGGAAAGCCAGAATCCATGGCCAGACATGCACCCGCTTCGTCAGCACCCGCGTCAGCTCCACCTTGGTCCACCTCAGAGCACTTGTCTGACTCTGAGACGGAATCCACCTGGTCCTCAAGGGGCTCCCGGTCCCATTCTCGGCATCGCTCCCACTCTTGGTACCGCAGCCCGCCCCGTCTGTACCAACAACAGTGGGCATAACCAGTTCCGGTGCCATTGCTTCAACAGACGTGGCCCCCGCAACCTCCGAGCCAGTGGCCATTCTGGACCCACCACCAAAGCCAGGTAGTAGATCCATCCAAGCCAGGCTCTGTCTCGTGCCCGCGGGCCACTCCTTCGGCGACCCCCTTAGCCAGGTTTCCTACCTCTGGCCAGTCGCTACCTCCTAGCCAGTGGTCTCCAGGCCCTGGGGGGAGCGTGGCTCCTGTTAGCCAACCTCCCCCATCCTCATCACTGGTCTCCTCGCAACCCACCACCAAAGCCAGGTAGTAGATCCATCCAAGCCAGGCTCTGTCTCGTGCCCGCGGGCCACTCCTTCGGCGACCCCCTTAGCCAGGTTTCCTACCTCTGGCCAGTCGCTACCTCCTAGCCAGTGGTCTCCAGGCCCTGGGGGGAGCGTGGCTCCTGTTAGCCAACCTCCCCCATCCTCATCACTGGTCTCCTCGCAAGATCCAGTGCACATGGATGTCCCTGTAGGAGAGGGACAGAAGGGGTCATCGTCCTCTTTTCAGGACAAGGCCCTAGGCAATTCTGCACCATTCATGCCCTCCATGGATGCTAGGCCCCAGCAGGACATTCTCCACCATCTAGCCTAAAGTTGGGGGGCCCAGGCAGAGAAGGTGTCTGAAGACTTGGACCCTACGGTGGACATCCTGCATTCTGATGCCCCCTCCAGAGTGGCTCTCCCGGTCAGTAAAACCGTGGCCAAAATTTCCAAGGCCTTGTGGCAAACCCCCGCTTCTATTCCCCCGTCTGATAAGTGAGCCGAAAGGAGGTACTTCGTTCCCCAAGTGGGCAATGAGCACCGGTTTCCCCACCCTCCCCTGGGCTCCCTCGTGGTACAAGCCTTGAACTAGATGGAAAGGCAAGGTCAGCCCGCTGCCACCCCTAAGAACAGGGAGGCCTAAAAGACCGACCTGCTTGGCAGAAAGGTTTACACATCCAAAGGTATCCAGTGCTGCATTGCCAGCCAGCAGGTCCTCTTGTCACTCTATGCCTATAACACCTGGGCATCCATGTACAAGTTCATGGACCTGCTCCCCAGGGACTCCCACTCAGAGTTCACATCTCTCCACGAAGAGGGGAGGGCAGCACTCCAGGCGGCTCTTGACGTGGTGGATGCCGCTGCCCGGGTGATGGCCACAGGTGTGGTCCTACGCCATAGCTCCTGGCTCCAGGGCTCGGGTTCCCCTGGAACTCCAAAACACCATCTAAAATCTCCGTTTGAGGGCCCTTTGCTCTTCTTGGAGCAGACTGACCAGAGGCTCCATGGTCTCAAGGATACCCGGGCTACCCTGAAATCCTTGGGCATGCACACCCCTGCTACCCAGAGGCGCACTTTCTCATATAGAAATGTTCCTAGAGCGCCTCCCCAGGCCCCGCTTCCTGACTTCTCCCATTGTAGGAGCAGGAGTGGGAACAGCAGGAACAACAGGCGCCAACCACACCTGGCCCCAGACAATAATTAGGGCCCCCCCAACAAACCCTTGGGCCCCCATCAGGGGTTTCGACAGGCCCCCAAGGTCAATTTACCAGTCTCCCCCACTAACTTTCTGGGACTGTTTATCCCACTTTCTCCAAGCCTGGCAGTCTGTTACGTCCAGACCAGTGGGAGCTGGAGATAGTGGAAAGGGGTTATGTAATCCCTTTCCACTCGTCTCCTCCTTCCCAACCCCCTACCCTGTCCCTTTTAAGAGACCCCTCTCATGAGCCTCTGCTCCAAGAGGAGGTCCAACACCACCTTATGCTAGGGGCAGTAGAGCATGTCACTCCCGAGTTTCAGGGCAGGGGGTTCTATTCCCACTACTTTCTGGTCCCAAAAGCAAAAGGGGGCCTCCGTCCCATCCTGGACCTCAGAGCCCTCAACTCCTTTGTCACCAAAGCAAAATTAAAAATGGTGACACTGGCCATAATTCCCTCGTTAGCCCCCGGAGACTGGTATGCTGCCCTCGACTTAAAAGACACTTATCTTCACATCTCAATCGCCCCCCACCACCGGAGGTTGCTCTGTTTTACTGTGGGCCCAGAGCACTACCAATTTACGGCCCTCCCCTTTGGCATCTCAATGGCTCCTCAGGTCTTCACCAAATGTATGGTGGTGGTGGCCGCCACCCTCAGGAAAAGGGGCGTTCAAGTGTTTCCCTACCTCAACGACTGGCTCCTGATGGGGGATTCTGAGAGCCAGGTGAGAGCTCACCTTGCCATAGTCTGCAGCCTCTTCAAAGACTTAAGTCTTTTTCTAAATCTGGACAAATCAACCCTAACTCCCACCCTGACAATAGAGTTTCTGGCTGCCACTCTGGACTCTTCGTAGGTGAGAACCTCTCTACCCAGCTCCCGGTTCCCTCACAATCGAGCCGATGGTTAAGGCGCTCCAGAACTTTCCAGTGACTACTGCCTAGACTTGCATGCGTCTCCTGGGCCTTGTGGCCGCCGACACTTATGTAGTGCAGCACACCAGACTGCGCATGCGCCCATTACAGATGTGGCTATCGCGAGTTCACAACCTGGTTGTTCACTCATGAGAGAGGGTGATGACGGTTCCCACCCCCGTCCTTCTCACATTAGACTGGTAGACCCACCAGGCGGAGGTCTGCACAGGGGTCCCGTTCTCCGGACCAGTGCCGTTCACCGGCCTCGCCACAGATGCATCGGAGACCGGCTGGGGAGCCCACCTAGGAGACCAGCATATGCAAGGTATATGGTCTATGAATGAGATACCCCTGCATGTCAACATCAGGGAGCTCCGGGCAATCCGACTCAGCTGTGCGGTTTATCTTCCCCCTCCTCAGGGGCAAGTCTGTCCTTATTCTTGTCAGACAACACGACCGCGGTGGTGCATACTCCCCTTGCCTGTCCTTAGAAGCGATTCGCCTTTGGGACCTCTGCATCGGGGCGGATATCCACCCGATGACCTCATACCTCCCGGGTTACCAAAATGTCCTCGCAGACAGGCTGAGCAGGTCCTTTGCAGGCTACAAATGGTCCCTAAGGTGGGACGTGGCCCACTCTATTTTCCGTGGGGGGGGGTCTCCCCATCTAGACCTATTCGCCACAGGGCAAAACAAGAAGTGCCTGAGGTTCAGCTCCTTCATGGGACAATGTAAGGGTTCCCTAGGAGACGCTCTCCTGCTTCCCTGGCAGGGCGGCCTGCTGTATGCCTTTCTCCCATTCCCACTCATTCACAGGGTTTTCCTGAGAGTGCGGGAGTTCAGGGCATCCCTGATCCTAATCTACTTGGCATGGCCCATACAACACTGGTTCTCAACCCTCCTCAGCATGTCATGCGAGAGACCTTTAACCCTCCCCCAGGTCCCAGACCTGATATCCCAGGACTCGGGCAGGCTCCGCCACTGGGACTTGCAATTGCTGCACCTGACAGTGTGGAAGCTCCGTGGCTGACAGCAGAAGAGCTTCCGTGCTCAGCATGGGTCCAGGAAGTCCTGCTAGGTAGCAGGAAGCCCTCCGCTAGGGCCGCCTACCTCACCAACTGGAAGCGGTTTTACATCTGGGCCTCCCACAAAGGGGTGCACCCAAGGTGGGCAACAGTTCCTATCCTGGACCTCTGCAGAGCCGCCACGTGGTCCTCTGTCTATACCTTTGCCAATCACCATGTGCTAACACATCAAGCCA